TAGCTGCAAGGATCTCGCAGACATGACAAGCATAAACCAAGTTAAGTCATCTGCATACCTCAGATGACTGATGAGCATATTACCCACCATACATCCAGTCTTGCACAAAATAAAAGGGACCAGTGACAGTAACGCCCCCTTGTCAAACTTAACGGGACTGGCAACTGGTAACAGAAAAGCTGGGGGACAACACCTCGCACAATTTCATCTTCATGGTTGTTTATTAAAATAAAAAAATCAATGAAATAAAATTGTATAAGGCAATAGGACATGTGCTAACAGTCCAGATTAACAAATTGCAAGTAGTAGAGAAATAAACAAGTAGAGAAAGTATACAAATACAGGACAGGATAAAGGCATTTTTTAAAGAGGAAACAGAAGAAAAGGGGGTTCTGCTAATGGTGTAAATATCTGTAAGCAGAGACTGTAGTTGCTTAGGGGCCCCCAACCTCTTAGGGGCCCCGTCACTGACACCTGGTTGGCCCCCTACGCAATTGTGGACTAGGACGTCTCTTTGCAGATATAACCGTGCAAATTTCTATTTTGTCCACCTGATGCTAACCTGACTGACTTATTTATACCCCAACACATGGCAGATTTCAACAGGATGGTGAGCCGTTTAAACACAACAACCAATAGCAAAGCAGACAGTGGTACTTTTAATTACTATGTTAATAGCTGTGTATAGTTCCTTGGACGGTTGGTAAAAAACGACACTCATATAATTTGTTTCAAACCGCAATGAAGATCTTAAAGGAACGATGTATTTGAGTATTATTATTTTTTTCCCTACGACTTGGAATTATGGGTAGATTAAAACCATAACCGTTATGTACAATGTGTTAGAGATGATAGATACCAGAAAGAGGTACTTAAGCGGATTCAAGAAAAGAAAAAGCAAAGAGCTGCTGGAAGAACGGAAAAAACTTCCCAAAATAAACACGTTGTTTCAAAGAATCGAAGAGGGAATGGTGGACGTTGCTGCTACGGTGAGTAAAGTTTGCGGCGATGGGGTGTTGTGCTTGGTATGGGGGCCCACCCAGATAATGTTGGTTACGGGCCTATTGTTGTGTCATTACGCCATTGGGTTTTTCACTCATTTGCAAGTCAAACACACCATTATTAGCAGCACAATGTCTCTCAATGCATTGTGCAATCTTAATGACACTAAATAATGGCAAATTAATCATCTCTTTTACAAGTCCTGACCTTATGAAAGTAGAGGTCACAGGGAAGAGTCAAAATAAACCTGGGGGAACATGAAAATCCCAATGAAATGTCATGATTGTAAAATGATAAAGCGTAAACTTTACGGCTTATGAATGATCGCTGTCACCATCAAGGGCAGATGCCCTCCAGAGAGATGAACAATCACTCAAACTAACAATCACTCAAGCTGATTTAGACACATCCATAAAGGGAGGTCTTGGAAAATTTTTTACTGCATTTATAGCTCAGGCATGTAGGTGTGCTGGGCACCTCACACAGTGACCCTATTGATGTGTTTGGGCTATAAATAGAACCCCTCTGCTGTTGCTTTCACGTATTGACCAACATGCCTCGCTTTGCCTTGTGCTTCATAGATGTGTGTCCTACACCCAGCCTCTCACACAGCCAATCTCTGCCAAAACACATCTCCATGTGGGCCTCAGGCTCTAATTCTTGGCAGATTGAGAGAAAGGCAAAAACTAGTACTGCCTACTAAATTATTCTGCAACAAACTGAGCTACGAGCTGTTTGTGTTTATGTTTTGGGATGCTGCCTGTCCAGGCTTCTCACATTCAACACACACAGCTGCAGTAGTGATGCAGCACTATTCACCTGTGCATGCCTCCCAACTAAAGGTGATGTTTTCATCACTAACCTCCAACTGACAGAACCCAGAGCTGTTCTTGTTCCGCGTCGCCTTGTTCCTCAGGTAGATCGAAAACCACCTTCGAACTGTAAATTTGCGCGTGCTCGTATCCATAGCAACGATCCGACCTGTGCATTTATCCCATAATGATGAACATCTCCCTGTTGGAGGGCGGGCTCACAGACGCGCAGCTCCTCTTTTAGATCCCCTGTTTGTCTCGCAGTTTTCCTGCTGGCGCACCCCCAATCTGCGGTTTATCCATCCTCTGCGCTCCGCTAACAGATGTCAGTTTAGCTGGACTGCGACGCGAACCCAGTGATTGAGAGAAGAAGTTGGAACAGAGCTGTTAATCCACGCAGCGGGTCGATGCGCGCTTTAGGATTGCCCTGCGTGTTTTGCAGCAAGCTCAGTGTGTGAAGGGGAGAGAGGTGACGAATAAATCCTTTCTGCTGAATCAGAAGAGGTGTGCATGAGCTTCCCTCCTCACATCTCTGCATGGGCATATTTGGGTTTATCTTCTGCGCTCCCTCATTGTGAAACAGGGATTGTCATCAGTCACATTGTGCGCCACCCTCCCTTTCACCTTCTGTCTTTCCCAGCAGCGCACAGCAACAGCTGGTGAGGTCACATGGCGCAAACCTGCAGCCTCCCCTTGGATGGATCTTCTCCGTTGCTGCATCCTTAGAGATGCATTTATTTTGACAACATATCAGGACACGATATGGCGTCAGAATTAAATAAAATGCTGAGCAGAGAATTGGATAAGGATGACACAATCTGGGCCAATAGTCACACTGGGAACGCAGTGATCTGGTTTGTGCAGTAAGCACCGGTGTGTGTGTTTGTGATGTTATTTGGATCTGTCACATCAGCAGCTTTTGCAGCGCTGCAGTGTTACATAACCTTAGGAAGATGCAGAAATATATAGTGATGAGCTGGGAGTTAAAACCAGAGCTGTTATCAGTTTATGAAGTTTCCACAGTTTACCTGTGGGGGTAATTTCTTAATATTCAGAAATAAAAAAAGTCAGACTGATTTTCACAGATTGGTTTGACACAATCTGGGTCACATCAGGTGAACAGTTTTTGGAGCATTTTAGGACTATTGGAAAATGTAATCAAATGTGTTCAGTCAATCTGCTGTGCTCTGCTGTGGGCGGAGATTCAGGATTATGGACTGATGCCTTTGTCCTAGTAGGATTAAAGCTCTGTAAGGAGATCACAACATTAATATTTATACCCAGCAGCCAGACTGTGACACAGACAGCCTTAAATACACAAGTGCTGCTATGCTGAATCATACTACAGAAAGAAAGAACAGTTAATACCTTCTTTTTTTAAGTTAGATTGTCCAAATAGGGTTCCTCATCAAGTGTTATTGATAAATTTCAAACTTTCACTTTGCTTCTGAAACACTGTAATTACAAGACAGCTGATGACATCAGTAAGAATCAAATGTTTTTATTCATAAGGAAAATAAGAGCTGAAAGCACTGTGCAATAAGCTATGATTTTGAGACAACAGCAAATATTAATTTACATCAAACACCCATGTATAACACATAAAAATAAATCAAGTTAACAGGTAAAATCCAGACTGTACTTGTTTGTTAAGCATTTCTAGAGTTTCATTACAAAAAAAAAAAAAAATAAAAAAGAGAGAAAGTGACTTAGCAACTTTCTGATTGCTTTATATCTTTTATATACTTTGGCAAAAACTTACATGAAACCATCAGAAATGTTAAATGAATGACATGAAGAAGTTCCAAAGTAAAAAAAAAAAAAAAGGGTTTAAAGACAATTTTATTTCACCATAAGAAAAACCCTTCAGATTTCCCTGGATCAATTTTAAATCCACAAAAAAAAAGGAAATACAACTATGAGGTCTTTAAAAAAGAAATGATTTTTAGGGATTTATGTTTAATTACGAAATATTACCTCTATGTCTTTTTTCAAATATTATTACTCACATTCGTTCATATCTCTATTAATAATTTCCTCTTGCATTATATTGTCAACATTATTTGTTGTTAGTCTTTGCTTTTTTGCTGAACTGAACTTCTTCATTTATGTTGAAGAATAACAATACAAATACAAAGTATTTAAAGGCCCATATCTAACCTTACATTTTATGTAAAGTTAAATAAAAAAAAAAGTTCATTAATAAACAACGGCTAATCAGGCTAAGTTGTTTCTTGGTAAATACACTTTACCTGCAGCCTATTGATGGTGGTCGGAGAGTCTGTGTTGCCTTATTTTCAGGAGCCTGGCTTCTGTTTGTGAGCCCCAGGAGTGCTGTAGCTTCAATGTATCTTGCAACCATAAGTGTATGAATGACTGAATGTAGTGTAATGAGCTTTGGGGTCATCTGACTTGAAAATGCACTACATAACTACCTGCAATCCAGATCAAGTTGGGCAGATTTCAACAACATTGGGCTGTAATTCAGAAAAAAACAAAGATCGCACATGGGACTCTATTGTTTGTCTTATTCTATTCAGCATTAGATTATAAATCAGATTATAAAGTACCAGTTTTCCCAGAACAGCTATGCTAAAATATACTTTTTTTTCTGTCTAATCACATTGCATTGGTCTGGTAGTCACTAAGGCAGTGTGTTGACAATATCCATGGGTGGATGGGTAAGAATGTCCTCCAGCATAGTGCACTAAGACAGAAGGAAAGGGAGGAAATCAAAACTATCTCACTAGGCTAAATCCTTAATGTTATCACAGAGTCTGACTTGAATCCTCACAACCACCTAAATTCTGCTGTCTTTTGTGTCTGATGAATAGTTCATGTGTTTGTGGAAGTTAAACAGAAATAAACATGGGTGGAGGTAAAGAAGAAGATGATATGTTAATCTCTTGCATAGAGGAATATGTGAAGATGGAGAGTACAGCAGGTATGTAAATCCCAGAGGGATCTCTTTTAAATAAAAGATAAAAAAAAGAGAAAAACTTGGCCATACTAAATAAAAGCTGATGGCTTAACTTCTGTGGGGGGTTGTTTAGGCTGAATTTACTCTACAAGCGATGGAAACAGAAATTTAAATCCTTGTTTGTACTCATAAACCTGGCCAATAAACGTACCCCAGAAGGTATACCAGTAATTTGTGTTTGTAGTTTGAAGTCACAGATTAAAAAGTAACAATAGAGCATTTAACAAAATGTTGCCGCTTGAAACTTTCAACCCATTTGACGTCAGTAGAAAAGAATTTGTCCACGCAAAGTTACAGAAAGGCTGAGTTGCACCACCTTAAGCCCTGTTCCATGCAGCGAGTACAAACCCAGCTTAAACCTCTTCACTTTAGGGACATTGGCATGATAAAGAGGTTACTCCAAAAATATTTAGCTTCCATGTTTATCTTTAATTTTTGTTTCTGTAAATGCAAATATGATTTTGGCTGAAGTAAATTTGATTTCAAACTTTCCTCCCATAGTACAGAGCGAGAGAGTGGTTACATATTAGTGTGCAGGCTGAATGAGAATGCATTTACAAACAAAAGCTAGGGTTATGGTTAACCCTAACCTTTTTTTTGTGCATAAAAAAAGGAGATTAGTAGTGTGTGACACTTCCTTTGTCTGAGAATGTTTGCATTTAAGCAGTAGGCGGGTAATAAACTGGTATATCATGGGCACAAACGCTGAGTCCAGACGGATTGTTTACACCAAGGGGATGGTCCCCGAGTCCTCTTGAAAAAGTGTCGATGGAAAAATGCTTCTCACAGTCATGCAGAGTGAATTCAGCATCGAAACAGATCTCAATCTGTCCCAAGATCTGGGGCTCAGAATTCTGCCAAGAAACAAACAAACCATAAACTTGTGAAACTACCTAGCATTTAATAGTTTCACAGTACAAGACTGAAAATTGCAGTTTGACTATTTAAAGGAAAATAAGCTGTTTATACCTTTGACGGATGCACACACTGAATTTTAACTTTCACACCATAAAACCTTTCCAGTCCTTCCTCAATTTCTGAAAACTGCAAGAATGGCAAAAGAACAAAGTACTGTTGGTGTTATTTCAACATGGTGTTATTATAAATACAGTGCTAGAACACAGCTAAACTTACATTGTAGTATTTGTCAGATGATGGGATGATGTTAAGCTTCAGCAGGATGCTGCAAAAAGACAAGAAAAGATCTTCACTTAAGGTGATACAACATAAGTGAACCTCAGTCATCACAACAAAAATAACCAAATAAAGCAACACTGCTTCTGCATAACATGCAATGAGAAATCATTTTTAAGTAACCTGTACCTGTTCAAATCCACCTTATGATATAATTCCAGCGCCTTGCTGAAGTATTTATGTTGACTATTTAGGGAAGCTGCTTCAGCCGCACATGTTCCATGTTTAGACCATTCGTACTTCCTGTTGCAAAAAGAAAAATTATTTTACTGATGGAAACAAAAGCAGATCAACTGCTAATAATTTTTACATTTCCATACTTTACAAGAAAACATTTTGACCTGGACTAGATTAATCTTGGTAAATTACAGATAAATTAATATCATATTGGAAGCAGCAATAACTTATTTTAAAAGGATGCAGAGACTGAAACGCAGTCAGATAGGCAATATATCATTTTTCAAAAGACTGTATAGAATAAGATGCAAACAAAATGTGCTCCGTACTACTGTATATTTTAAAAGATAATTGATCAGTGAGCGCCTGAAGTACATGATTATTAAAAAGTAAAATAAGAACTAATGCAAAGCAGCTAAGTGATGTTAAGTAGTCCTGACAACATTTATAGAACTACAAAAATGGCATCACAACAAACAAAATCTTAAAGAATACTAACAAAATAACACTAGTAGTTTTAGTATGCAACCAAAATCAAGCAAAAAAAAAAAAAAAAACAACTATAAAAAATAAATTGCTTAAAAATAGTCAAATGATGAGACATTCCAGAATTGTACAGATGAAGGATTAAGCAGGTCTGGCCAACTCTTCCTCATGTCTGGGAGCAGATCCTGAAAAAAAAAAAAAAAAAAAAAGCAATACAAAACAGATTTAATTTATACATTTCAATAAGGTTCATTTTAAATGGAGAAGAGATTAAAAATATTTCCTTATTAAGCTTTTCCAGATAGTATTAAAGTTGCACATCTAATATATTAATATTCAAACGAAAGGCTATAATCCTGTCTGTTCTTAGTGCGTCAAAGTTTACAGTGTCATAGATAACAATTGGTCCACTGCCATACCTCTATTTCAGAGGAGTTGAAATGCCAGGAGGAATTGCAGTGGTTCCCTTTATCAGGCCTGAAACAAAGAAAGCCCAAAAAAACAGACATTAAATCAAAGCCAACAACAGTCCACTACAGAGATGTTTTCCCCCAATTGTAATTTAGAGATATTTGCTTAAAATAGGTTGCTTTCCAGATGTAGCAAATGGAATCATGGCCAATGGCAACTAAGTTTAAAGGTTATGTTACAAAGGCAAAAACATAAATTCTTTAAGATTTTTTTTATTTATTTATTTAATTAACAGCCCTACACAACAAATAGGTGATCTAAAAACCAACATGGTTATCCAAATGTGTTTGAGCACATCAGTTATTAATTAAAATAAAAAAAAATGAATAAAAACACCTTGAAACTGTCTCATGTCACAGCAAACGGGCTTGAAAGCAGATGAGTAAATCCCATCTGAGTATGTGAACTACTCACTATGATAGAAAACACTACCAACTGACATGATGCCAGCTGCAAGATCGCTCCACCCACAAGGAAATGCAAGGCAGCGTAAACAAGCCCCGGCAAATCCAGGAGAGTGAAGCACAGTGCATTTGATGAGGCATTTTCCCCGATCAGCAAACCTTAAGGCAAAGCGACAGGCAAAATGTTTTTTCTACTTCAAGACAGTAGATTTATTTCAGGTTTAAGGTAAAAACTCATCAATTAATGTGAAAGATCATGCTCTCCACATACAGAGGAAGGATAAAAAAACAATGGGCACAGGCTGGCTGTGAGCGAAGTTGATAGGTTACCATTGTGGAAAATACTTTAAAAGTGTATTTTTTTTTCCTATCAAAACATATTTCAGAACAGTGAAACAGGAGAGCAGATACTTTATGCCGCCCTTTAGACTTCCTGTATGACAGTTTCATTATTATATTAGTCGGTTGGAACATAATGTTCCATATTTCATAATAAGGAATGTAAAAGGACATTTTACCTCTGCTTATTGATAGAAAAGGTCAGTCTGTGTGGAACAACAGTGTCTGATGCACCTAAAGCCTTACCAAGACTTTGATGGCACTTAAAAGCAACGTATTATCCTTGGCTATTTATACCACCATAGTTCAGTACAAATGCATCTATTGTTAAATCCCCATAGCATACATAAAAATCACATTCTTGGGAAGGAGAAACATTTTTCTAAAATGGGTTAGAACTTGTCAAGAAGACAGAACAATGGTTTTTCAAACTAAAATACAGATTGTTCCTTACCACAGTCCATGGAGCGTCCAGTAGGTAAAGTTGGGATGGCAATGTTCCATCTGAAAAGAGATAAATATTCAACAATGCAAATCAATACATAACTGACTTAAAGAAATTTTTAAAGAAATTCACTACTACTACTACTAGCAACAGAAATAACAATGATGACAACATGCTTGTATTCACCACAAGGAGCTGAACTAGCAATGGTTTAACGTCCTCTACTTCCAGGTTTGAATCATTAATAATAACTTCTAAGCAATTAAATATGTGACTAACTGCTTTAACAGAACGATGGATAACAAATGGGATTGGACTAGGGCTGCAGCTAACAATTATTTTGCTAATCAATAATTTTTTTCGATTAATTGATTAAAAATCGGATAGCAAAATGATCCCTAAAGAACATTTTTTACAGAATTAAGCCAAGTTAAACTCAAACTTTTCTACTTCAGGAGTTCTGGGTTACGCATATTAACAGGAATAAAAAAAAATTATAAAATTAATGATTTAAATATTAGGGATGGGACGATTTATGAAAACCGTCCGAACCGTTCGGTTCGACTGTCTCGGTTCGATTCGCGTGTGTTTCGTTCCGTTCATGCACTGCTCCTTTTTCTCATAGGGGAAGCGTTTACACTCCAGAGCAGAAGGTGGCGGTACTGCGACCAAAGCCAACCACCAGTAGTAAACAAGAAGAAGAAGAAGCAAAGCAACTTAGCCGGGTGTAGTAGGGAAAAAAATCAGTTGTTTTGGAGAATTGTGTCGGAATGGCGAGTGGGAAAGAACAGGAGTTGGAAAAGAACAGGAGTTGGAAGACGTGCCAGCAGCACTTTATAGGTCTGTTGTATGGGACCGCTTTGCATTTAGAGTGACCTACGACGACGGCGGAAAGAAAGTTGTGGATAAAAGTGCAAGTGTGCAAGCATTGTGCAACACCTTTTGTTTATGCTAACAGCAACATGACCAACATGTCATGCTAACCCCGAAATCCCACATACTCCGTCAGCAACCCCCGCTGCGCTCCAGACCGGCTGCTCAAAGCAAAGCCTACAGCCTCCACTGTGACTCCCGTCTGCTCCCCTCTGATCCCTTGGAGATGGTAGAGAGCATGCGCGAGATGATTAAATTCAAAGCAGCAAAACATACGGAAATGATCCAGGGTTTCCGCGGATCATTTAAAATAATTACAATCCATTATTTTTTGGGGGATTTTTTCATTAATTCCATAAATTTTTTATGGGATTTCGGTGTAACAATCAACATATATCGAACCGAACCGATAACCGTGACCAGAAACCGTGAATCGAACCGAACCGTGGATTTTGTGAACCGTTCCACCCCTATTAAATATATATATATATATATATATATATATATATATATATATATATATATATATATATATATATATATACCCAAATTTTTTTTCAATTACGATATAATTGCTGCTCTAAGTTCGTTGCCCTGTCAGCTAAAGGCATGTTTCCAAGTCTCTATAATCAAGTTAATTAGTTGACGATTATTGCAATAATCGATGAATCACAATTATTCCAATCAATTGTTTCAGCCCCAGATTGGACTATATGTATTCCTGGGTAGTGTATTTATTAATATATTCCAATTTTTACAGTGGCCTAAATATCGGAAAGCCCAGATATTTATACAATGTAAAACACCCTTGGTCCTAAACTAAACTAAACTGCTTCCTATTAATCAAATCAACTTCAGATTCTGTCCGTTCACAAAAAAAAAAGAAAAAAAGAAAATCTCGCTGCACAGTAAGCAGAAAAAAAAAAAACCTTGGCAAACCCACAAAAAGAGGTGCATGACTCATGCTGTAATGCGCATCTGAAAAATGACTCAACAAACCACAGTGCTGACAAAACTCTTGTGATCCGGAATCACATGTTGTCAAAGGAAAACGCCTGGATTACATTGTTTTCAGAACATATCACTAGAAGTTCCATTGCTTATTTGGACAATGCCTGATATCTCCGTAGGAACAACATTAATTAAACACATTTAATTTAATGAACATGACTCCTCTGCTCTAGCAGGGGAATGGATGATTTCCACTTCAAACTGCTAGGTTAAGACAAATTCAAAATACAGCATTGAGACAATATAAAAACAATATTTCATTGATCTACAAGGAGATTTTGAACAAGCAAATCAGAGTTATACTTTATATAATTTGAAAAAGTATGTTTGTTAACTATCTGCCAGGCCGGACGCCTAGAAGAAGACAAAGGAAGAGGTTACTGGATGGAACCAAAGTGGTGTTATAGTGGGTGTTAGAGATGAAAATGCAGAAGATGGGGTTAAATGGAGACTTGCTTTGCCGACCCCAGAAAGATAAAAGCTAAAAGAAAAAGAAGACTGTTGATATATCTATTAAGCTCTAACATTTGCCTTTTGGTCTGCCTGTTTTGGTGTGGCTACAAACCACAAAAGCCAACTATCAAAACCTATATGATGGATTTAAAATTATTTCATTATAAATTCCTGGATATGAATGAGTTGTGTTTGTTTTATGAAGTGCCGTTAGATAAGTGCTGCAACCAACGATTGCTGATCGATTAATATGTCAATTATCTTTTTGACTAATAATCGGATAGCAAAAGGTTCCCTAAAGATCTTTTACATAAATTTTACCAGGTGAAACTAAAGCTTTTCTATTTGAGGAGTTCTGGATAGAGAATGTTGTTGGCTGAATTTTTACAATTTTGGTATAATTAGAGCTCTAAGTGGGTTGCTCTGTCAGCTAAAGCCACATTTTAGAGTCTCTATACTCCAATTAAAAATCAATTAATTAATTACTAAATTAGATGACAACTTTTCAATAATTAATTGATCAAGATCGATCTGATTGTTTTGGCCATACATTTGATAACATTCTTTTATTAAATGTTATCAACTGTACTGTTTAGACTTTGTCATGATAATGTATTTGCACTATAACAGCAATATAATCACAATTAACACCATTACATGGTATTTTCACTGCAACAGATCATACCTCAATGTACATAAGAGCACTTCGCTGTATATAAGACACCTTAAAGTTCTATTCTTAATTTTTTTACCTATTCACCTATTTTTGTACCCGTTTGGTTTTTCTTGTTTTAATTTCTCAGTTATGAGAGCTTATCTTGAACTTTATGCTTCCCAATTTCAATTTCAAATGCATGAAAGGCCAAACTTGATTTTTTTTTTTAAAGGCAGGTATCTACGTTCAAGATCCATCTGGGTACCATGTAGTTACTGTATGTTTACCAATAAAACAAAGTGATGAAAATTACTCTGTGATTCTGCAGCATAAATGATGACTTCTAATGAAACCAATCAATAGATAAGGATGGACTGAGACTCACAGCACAGAAGGTGTTGGGCCACTGCTGGGTCAGGATCAGTTTAGTCCATAAATCACTGAAAGAGACAACGATATTTCTAATTATTCACTTTAAATGATAAAATCAAACTTTTATACGGCAACAGCTACCGCAAATCTAAGAAAGAAGATGGACGCGAGAAAGCAATGTTCATAATTTCAAATCTGTCTTACCGCGATGACGGAATGGCAGCAGAGGACAGAGCTGCTACCAGGCAGACCAGAACAGGAAGGTGGAGTCTCATGACTGACCTAAAACAAGTTGGGGGAGATGAAATAAAATCCAAATATCTGACTCCTGCAACATTAGAATTGCACAAAAACACAGGAAAAATTACAAAACACTCTTTAAGAACAATTTATGCATTCTCCTTAGAAATAACTTTAATTGAATTCTGCATCAGGAGCTGACTGCACAGGCACTGTAGTGACTCAAGGAGAAATGGTGCTTAAACTGTTAAAATGATTCAGAGTACAGTTTCACTAGACAGTGTCTCTCTAATGCACAGATAAAACACAGTATAACTAATAGTCAGGGCATGGATGGACCAGTTTGACAAACAGGAACTTTACCCTTTTTTTTATAGAAGTGGAATCTCTGCACAGTTCCTATTTTCCTAGTTTTTGGCATGTAATAAACAAAGGGTGAATACAAAATTATCCTATCTTATTTACAATTTCCAAATCAAAATCTCATGAAGATTAACCCAAGACAACATTGATATACATATATAAATATTCTTATTACAATAAGACCACACATCTTCCCAATGTGGGCATGAGGGAATCCAAGCTTTGAAGTAAAGGTGGTTTCAGTTTGTGTGATCTACTTCCACTGGAAGTTTAGTTGGCAAAGAAACAAAACCCCCAGAAATTAGCTAACAAACTCTCAGAGGAAGAAACCTATTCCCTTAGTCTCGCTATGACCATCAGTTACCTTTTCTTTTCTCAAACATTTTGTACACACGTCGTTGGCGAAAATGTACATGGCATCTTTGTATAAAAGACTATCTTTGTATAAAACAACCAAACGGGCAGTAAAAAGTCTTTACAAAACTTATATTTTTATTCAAAACTGTTTTTTTTATTAAATATGTTAACAAAAACATGGAAGAGTAAAGTTTCGTGTTTAGTATCATAAACTATCTTAATTACCAATATGAAACTTTCACCTCACCTTGTTGAGAATACGAAGCGTCCAAAATGTATACTGGTCAAATGAACAATGAGCTCTTCCTAACTGTGTCAAACTTCGGTTTGCAAAGCGTCTTGCTCAAGAAATGGGTTGTTTATGTTCCCGACCACAAAGAGACAGCACCAAACTTCCGGTTTAATCACAACAGCCAATCAGGAGCTCCGTAAACATATCGAGCGTCATTACGCTAATGAGTTAGGACTGTGGATGCTTGTTTTATTACAACCGCAGTCCCGGTTGCTGCTCCTAACCTAGCCTGTAAATCATGCATTTATTCCGGTTATGGTGTTGTGCTATAAGGTTTCACTGGTTGAACTAAATGTGAAGCAGCGCTTCAAAAGACTGGTTGTCTCCATAATAATATAATATAATATAATATAATATAATATAATATAATATAATATAATATAATATAATATAATATAATATAATATAATATAATATAATATAATATAATATAATATAATATAATATAATATAATATAATATAATATAATATAATATAATATAATATAATATAATAATATAATATAATATAATATAATATAATATAATATAATATAATATAATATAATATAATATAATATAATATAATATAATATAGAAAATCCCTTTGGACCTTAGAAAAAAATGTACAACTATAACATAATAGTGAAGAGTTAAAAGACAAACAATAAAATACTGTACTGTAAAGTGTTTTAACGATATCAAATTGTGCACCTGGGTAATATAATATATTATGATATAACATAATATGTGTGGCACGCTATATACTGTATACATAATGTACTAGTTATACTATTCCACACAGTAAAACAAAGGTTGTACAAGTTATACAAACAAATTGACTAATTGTCACAAAATGTTGCTTTAATACTGGTTTGAACAAACCAAACTTAGCAATCAAATAGCTGTTAGTTCTACTCAAAGGCTATGGAATGCACACAAACCTCTAATAAGCTGCAAATCTATCACTGCAGAAAAAGCTATTGAAAAGGAATTATCAGGCCTAAACCCAAGCATGTTTATAAACAAATCAAACAAGAACCATATTTCATAACAAATAATTTTTATATGTAGGATTTATTTGGGTAAAACAGAATGAAATAATGAATGTCCATCATAATGCTGGTAGGGATCTTTACATAAACTAGCAGAGTCAAATGTTCTTAATATAACTAGTGCATAAAAAATAAAACATTTTATACTTTATTCTAAATAATAAACCTCAAATATCGTCAATACAAAAAAAAACAAACAAACAAACAAACAGTTCTAGTCTTTTAAGTTACATATTTACCCATTGATTTATTTGACAAACTAAAATAATGCATGATTACAATTCCTAAATCTTAATCTTTTATTAATACTATTTCTTTCTTCTACACAGTTTCATATGCCTACGTCATTCAGACATCACAAACTCCTTTTCAAGCTGCCGAATGCTATTGCATGTTGTCCCCTCACATGATTTTGTCTCAGACGTGCAATCTGTGTAACAGCTCCTCTACAGTGTCCGGAATAGTCAGGTTGTAACTGTAGCTAGTTTTATAAATAGACAATGACCAAACTTCAGCATGCAATGCAGCTTCTCAAGATGTTCTTTAATGCAGATGGAGGAAATTCTAAGAGCAGAAGCTCAGTCCACTGCGCAGCAAGATCAAAATGCGTTAAACAACTACACACTCCATTTAAATAAATAGTAAGTTAGGTATTCCTCTCAAGTAGAATAAACATGTTGGAAGTTTATGTTTTAGAAAATCTGTTACTGTTAATGAACCACTTGGATGTGTTTATGCTCACTTAATATTCTTGAAAACAGAAAACCAAATAATTTCCATGAGAAGCTTTTTGGTTTTATTGGCCATGTCTTGTAGGATACTAGTTATATATAGGCAGTTCTCTCTCCTTATAAGGCCTCGGGGAGAGGCCGGTGGGGGTCAGCTGGAGTCGGGTGGTGGTTGTCTTGGCCTTGTACAGATCTTGGTTTAGGCTGACTCCCTGTGGATTCAGGTTGATAACCGAAGTCGCTGAAAAGAAAATCTCAAGCGGTAAGAAAACATTTTTAAACTGTGTTGAGCTCCTCCATCTCAAGTATTGTTAGTTTTATTACCCATCTTCATTTCAAACCCATTAGTAGCAGGTGGGATGAGTGAGATGGGACTCAACAGAGCCCAGTTGAGAGATATTTCATGATACTTTATGGATGCTAATGATACTTTAGAGTGATGAATGAAAGAATATAGCTTTTTCAAGTAGACTGAATGTGCTATTGAGGACTCCTTTGTCATTTGTTTGCCTGTTGGTCTATTTTGGTGAACTAAAGTGGGCAGATCATACTGTAGATGTATTTTTTATTGTAACCCAAATTGGCCAAGGTAAACACAACTTAGGGAGCTTTTATAGAGAGCTGTTTGTGTAACAGATTTGTTCTTTGTATGTACTTCAAACATGTAAACGTTGTCCCTAATTCCTTAGTTTTATAGCAACACTTTGCCTTTAAATTGCATTATGTTGCTTTGTATGGTTATGGCTGAGAATACTGGATGGAGGTTTACAGTTACAGTTTTTTTGGCTGTTACAGTATAGGCTAGGCTGGCAGAGGTGCAGAAGTTATGGAACAAGATTATGTCCTGTAAGGAAAGAGTAGTTTCCCCAGTTTGAATTGAATTACATGCTTCATTTAGATTCAAGCTAAAATAGTTTTCTTCTAAATCTGCATTGTAATCTAAAAGGAACTAATCAGATTTTATTGGTTTTGCTCTAACTTACTTCTGTAAGGTATTTTATTTATTTACTGAGGTTGTATTTGTTTTATTTCTTAAATTAATAAAACATTTTACCAGCTTTGTTCTTCCACTTTTTGTCAGGAATTCGTGAGAATAAAAATGTAATATGTACATTTTAACAAACAATTCTGCTTTGCAGTTGCTAATCTGTTTAAAAAAAAAAACATGATCTTGAAATGATATAACCTTGTATGCTTGACTGGCAGAATTTGAAGAGAAAAGTTATGTAAGGAAGTAAGTTGAAGTAACTTGAACTTCAGTTTAGTGAGAGGAGAGAGGACAGTGAAACTGCAAAAGGATGGAAACAGGGAACTAGTGCGGCACACTTCCCTTGTCATCAAATTGTGGTTAAGGAACAGGGAAATTGACAAAAATTATAAAGTGAACTTCCCCCTAAAGTATATCGGCTGCAAATGGATGTGAGAAAAAACTGAGGGTTCTGCTATGATGGACATCCTAGAATTATTTTTTCTAAGTGTCATTTCTACCTGTTAAACAAGAAGCTAATAGTATTTTTGCTGTTTAAATGTCTTGGATTGTAAAAACTCCATATACTCAAATTCTTCAAAGGCATTTTCAATAAAAAAAAAAAGAAAAACAGCTAATCTGATATGAAAATAAATAATAACATTAACTGTAATGTCGTTCTGTGAACAGAAAGTTAAAAGCCAAGGCTTTGCCATTCAGGTATGGCTTAGGTGTTTCAGTTAGAAATTCAGAGTAAATAAAGTATTATTTCACAATATTTACTATTATTTTGCAATTAGCACTTTTTAAGTTTTAGTTATGCAACAAGCAGTGTTAGGAAAAGTAGGGTTAAAAAGATTTGCGAGAGAAAAACAATCATAGATAGTTATAACACAGATACAATTATTTATTCACTGATGTAACCAAGCAATAGAGTTGTTGTTAAGCGCGGAAGTCAGCAGTTAAATAAAAAAAATGTTAATGGAAAAGAATAAAATAAAATGTCCTCACTTGGTTTCCTTACTAATACTTATACAGATTGGTGGATTAACTATACATCCAAAAATGTACCTTTTTTTTTTTTACCCACTCTGTTTACATTTGATCACTGCTGCACTTTAAAAAATGGAGGTGTCATGAGAGCTGAAACAAAATGAAGTTTTGTTTTGTGTACACTCTGTGTATAAGAAATTACAATAAAAATTGTCTAAGTCTAAATGAGAGGTTGCCTTCTACTTAGCTATGAACCACCCCAGTGCATTAAGGAGGTCTTGGCAGGAGGAAGCCATCAGAACTGCACCATCTTCAAAAGCAGCAACGAAATCCATTGCTCCTCAAACCACCCCTCCGACCCTGGGCAGCAACTAGAAATCCTGTCCATAAAGCTTATTAAAAGGACCAGTGACAGAGGGCAGCTCTTTCAGAATGCATCATGCTAAATGCCCCTCACCTCTAGCAATGTTGAAGAACAGTATCAGCCATGGCAGCCGGAGAACATCCAGTGATTTAAAGCAGTCATTGCAGATCTTATCCACACCTGAAGTATTTAAACTGTATTCCTTTTATCATCCCATGATGCCATAATCTCTGCTACCATTAAAACCTTTGCTAAAAAGCACAGATTCCTCTTCAGGCGCTGGACAATTTGCCAGAATCACTGATATATAGTCTTTTTCTGTGGTCTTCACAAACTTCTCTGTAGCCCAAATCTTTGCCTCTGTGATCCCTCAGGCAGTGGCCAAATTGGCCACACAATGTCTGCTTGCTGTCTCAGGAGTCCCACAAGCCAACCAGGCCCGACTGGACTCCTTTATCAGCTCGACAGGATACCAACAATAGAGGCAGAGTGTATGGTCCACTCAGACCTCATACCCCCAGACTCCACTAGAATTTTAGAAAAGTTCTCCAAGAAATGGGATATTATCGATGACCGAGGCCTCCGCTAGATGTTCCCAACAGACCCTCCCTACTTGCCTGAGCCCGCCTTGTTTGTCCAACTTCCTCCTTTCACAGTCCAGCCTACTACCAGGTGGTGATCAGTAGACAGCTCCACCCTTTTTTTCACCCAAGTCTCTCTTCACCATGTGTCAAAGGTCAGAAGATAAGCCTAAAAAGTCGATCATTAACCTCCGGCCTACAGTAGAAAGTCCTGGTGCCAAGTGCCCTGTTGGACATCCTTAGCCTTGAAGATGGTGTTCGTTATGGCCAGCCCATGACTTGCACAGAAGTCCAATAATACAAGACCACAGGGTTCAGAGCAAGGGGTCATTTCCTACAAATCACTCCCCTTCAGGTGTCACTGTTATTTCCCACCTGGGTGTTGAACTTCTCCAGCAGAATGATGGAATCCTCGGAAGGGGCGCTATCTATTACCCCACG